CTCATTTATTTTTGTGTAAGTAGTTTTTATTTTATTTTTTTTGGTGACTGGTTGTTAAGGGGATCTGAACCCTTGACCTTGGTGTTAGAACACCATGCTCTAACCAACTGAGCTAACTGGCCAGCAGTGTTAGTAGTTTTTAAACAGTCTTCCTGTCTCCACTCTTGCACAATCCATTCCATTGTCTCAACTGCGGCTAGGATCATATTACTGTGCAGAGTTGGAGTTCTTCTCTGCTTGAATGCCCTCCAATGGCTTTCCTGTTACCTACAGGATGAAGTCTGCACTTTTTTTTTTTTCCTTTTTGTCTTTTTTCGTGTCCGGCAACGGATCGCAACCCTCAGTGTCGCGCCCGTACCGGACCGGGACCGGCAATGAGATCGCAACCCTCAGTGTCGCACCCGTACCTCGCTCAGCCAGTGAGCGGGAACCGGTCTGTATGTGGGATCCGAACCCTCGGCGGGAGCGCCGCCGTGCTCCCAAGCGGCGCACTGTAGCAGTGTGCCACCGGGCCGGCCCATGAAGTCTGCACTTTTTTTTTTTTTTAAAAGATGACCGGTAAGGGGATCTTAACCCTTGACTTGGTGTTGTCAGCACCATGCTCAGCCAGTGAGCGAACCGGCCATCCCTATGTGGGATCTGAACCTGGGGCCTTGGTGCCATCAGCACCGCACTCTCCCGAGTGAGCCACGGGCCGGCCTGAAGTCTGCACTTTTAAACATGGCTTTTGTGTCCCGCCCTCACCCCACCACGGCCTTCCCCTTGTTTGTTTTTCTATTCAACCTTACTGCTTGTTCCATTCTGCTGAAATATTTAACCTTTTATTCAAAGCACCGGGTCATTTCATTCTTTCGTGTTTTTATGCATGCTAAAATATACACCCGTTCCCCCGCTTATCCATGGGAGATACATTCCAAGAATCTCAGTGGATACTTGACAGCAGGGATAGTACTGAATCAATTATGTCCATCAGAACACTTTCTGTTCAAGTCTTCTACCCACAAATTTAGCGCCTTTTCCATCTTAATTAAACACTTATGCAGTGTGGCTGAAACTTTTGCAGTTTGAGGTGTGACAGCAAAATTAACGTGAATTTCTTTTTTTTTTTTTCCACCATTTCACAGAAGATTTGTTCTTACGTAGCTCTTAGCAACATTAGCATATGATTTTTTCCTTCCCTTACTGAGAACTTTCACCTTTTCACGTAAAAGGAAGCACTTTATGGCTTCTTCTTGGCATATCTGAATTGCCAGCATCACTCTTGTGTTTTGGGGCTATTATTAAATAAAGTAGGGGTTACTTGAACACAATCACTGCAATCTGATAACCCAGAGGCTACTAAGTGACTAACAGGCAGGGAGGGGATACAGCGTGCAGATGCTGGACAAAGGATGAATTCATGCCCCGGGCACGATGGAGCAGGATGCAGAGAGGTTTAATAGTGTTACTCAGAACGGAGCACAATTTAAAACTTATGAGTTGTTTATTTCTGGAATTTCCTGTTTAATATTTTCAGGACCTGATTGACTGTGGGCAAGTGTAACAACAGAGAGTGAAACCATGGATAAGTGGGCACTGATTACCCTCTTACACTTCTCTGCTTTCTTGAACCTGCCTGGCAAATTTACAGGCAATTTTCAAGACTTTTTTTTTTTTTTTTTTGGAATTTTTCCCAATTTCTTGTCTTTCCACTCTTTCCAATTCAGTCCCCCTTTATGTGCTCCCATTAACCTGATCCAGCCTCTGTGTGTGCATACTCAACTGCACTTGATTGTATTTCTGTCACTTTCTATTTGACTTTAGGGATCCTGACTTTTCCCTGGTGATTGATATAATACTTGGCACATAGAAGGCATTCAAAAAATGGTTGTCGAGTGAATGAATAAATAGCTGCAATGGCAGTCAGTCTTAAGTTCTCACGTTAAGAGGGTTTGTGGTATTTATTCATTTTTACAGTAATATGTATGGTATCTTCATAATCAATTTGAAGTGGTCCCACTAAACAGAAATTGCAGTTTGATTTGTGAGAAAGAACTTTCTTAACCTGTGCTAATTTTGCAGGATCATCTTCTCAAATAAATCTTATCAATTTCTCTCCTACCCTGTGGATCCTTTTAATTGAATCATATGAAATTTCCAGTATTCAACCAAAATTGCCAATATTCAACCATTCAGTTTTATATGCCTCAAGCTATAGAACTAAGGGAATTTATTGCTCTTTATGCTTCTGTGCTCCTCCGATAGGGTGAAAATGGAGACTAGCCTGGCTGTGTGCAGATCTCCCACTTGGTAGAATGTGTAGCTCTGGCTTAGTTTCATGACTTCTCTGTGAGACAGAGGGAGAGAGACTTACTCCCTCTCCTTTTCCTAGCTGGCCACAGTCCTTCGTTTAGCTGAGGGACAGAGGGAATGAAAACTGCCATCAGTCAGCAATCGGGGGCTGGGACATCTATGCGGGAAACACCCCTCCTTCTTTTGGATTGTGTTGGTTTGGCCTCATGATTATAACAGTTGCCCTAAGGAGTTAAGGCCACGGGGAGCTTCAGGAGGCCAGGTTTTCCTATAGTTTCTCTCATAGCTGACTCTATTCGAAGGAAAGAATGTCTCTTCTCTCTTTGAGCAAGAGGAGGGACCACTGTTAAAGAAAAAATTATTGACACTTATTAACATGGTAAGGAAGATTTTATTCAAGACCACTGCAATACAGGTCATGACTAATGCCAATAGGAGAGAGAGATCAGACTCAATTCTGAACACAGCAAAGACAACTGGGGATATATAGCCAATGAACAGAGTGAGGTGGTCAGTGAATGGAAAATTACTAAGAGGAGATATCAGGTTTTGTAGATTCTTGCTAAAGTGACTTAACAGGATTCCTGCTGAAGGCAGGCCAGGATGATCAGATGTCAAGGGCGGAGGATGAGGATATTAATCAAATATCGATCAATTATTTTATTTATTTATTTATTTTTTAAAGATGACCAGTAAGGGGATCTTAACCCTTGACTTGGTGTTATCAGCACCACGCTCTCCTGAGTGAGCCACGGTCTCCTGAGTGAGCCACAGTCGGCCCTTGATCAATTACCTTAATCTGTTTTGGCTGCCAGAAGAGAATGCTATAGATTTGGTAAATTATAAACAACAACAATTTATTTCTCACAGTTCTGGAGGCTGGAAGTCCAGGGTCAGGGTGACAGCATGGTTGGGTTCTGGTGAGGGCCCTCTTCTTGGGTGTAGACTGCTGCTTTCTTGTTGTATCCTCACATGGTAGAGAGCAGAGAGATGCAAGCTCCTTGGGGACTCTTACAAAGACACTAATCCCATCGTGGGGGCACTGCTGTCATGACTTCATTTAATCCTAATTATCTCCCAAAGGCCCTACCAACTAATAACATCACATTGCAGGGTAGGGCTTGAACATGTGAATTACGGAAAGGTAAAAGCACTCAGTCCATAACAGAGGGTGATCAGATATCAAGAGTGGAAGTATCCTCCCTAAACCAACTTAGCAGGATTCTTGCTACAACTGGGTTAGGCAGGCAGAGGAGGCTCAAGGATGAGCCCTCATCAGGCGGAGGACTCAGAGGAGCTTGTCCAAAGTTTGGTCAAGGAGAGAGTGTCACTGTCTCCTGGATCCATGAGTGCTACTTTTTTTTTTTTTTGTCTTTTATCTTATTTCCGTGTCCGGCAACAGATTGCAACCCTCAGTGTTGCCCCCGCACCGGACCGGGGACCGGCAACGGGACCGCAAACCTCGGTGCCGCTCCCGCGCCTCGCCCAGCCAGCGAGCGGGAACCGGTCTGTATGTGGGATCCGAACCCTCGGGCGGGAGCGCCGCCGCGCCTCCCAAGCGGCGCACTATCCAGTGCGCCACCGGGCCGGCCCATGAGTGCTACTTTTTCAGGGAGCATAATCTGTCTGGTGCCACGAAAGAGAGAGGGTCACTGAGCTAACCTTTGGCACTGTCCTGTGGGAGTTCTTCCCCATGGCTACTTCTCTCTATTGTCATCTTTAAGTATTTGACTGGTATTATGATATTGTTGGCATATTCAGCAATTGGAGGATGAAGTGGAAAAGAAATTTTTCCCCTGTAGGTAATTGAACTTCTGTACATTCATAATAAAACACACATGATTGTAAAACAGACTACATTTTCTCGACCCCTCCCTCCTTTTAGCTTTTTTGTTTCTTAGTTTTCAATGGTATAGGAGTTTTGAGGGAATTTAAACACATTTATTGGTTAAAGTAAAGTCTGGGAGCTTCCCTTTATCATAAAATAAAAATTTATGACTCAGTATTACTAAAGCCTTATGACTCTGAGGATCTACTTATTGCAAAATTTTTAAAATATTAAATGTTAAAATCAGAATATTATTAATAAATTATTAATTATTAATATCAAATTTTGATTAATGTTTAATAGGAAGCTGTATAAAGAATGTCTTTCAATACACCTTTATAAAGTTCTAAATTCAAAGATTTTTGTTCTACTGGAAAATGAACTACCAAATATCTTTTCAGGCTTTGCTGGGTTATCTTTAAATCCCTAGGTAGGTATGCGGAAACAGGACTTAGATGAAAAGGTATGTAGTAAGAGCATTGCTTAGAGTTGAGCACTTAGGGCAAGGTGTCAAGGTTTAATGCAGGCTTAGCATGCTCCTAGATCAAAGTGGAGACTTAATGGGAAGGAGGCCTGCAAGGAAGTGCCCTCTGTGAACCAAGTGGTGCTCATGGGGTGTGATCACAGGACGATACCCAGGGGGAGAGGGAGCCAGCTTTCCCACTGGTAGTACTGCACATGGGTCAGGGTAGCTCATACTCTGAATTGTTCCTGCTAAACCACATTGTAAATGGTCCATTTCCCATTTCAAATGGGGTCACAAATCTTATCAAATGGTAAATTTATTTGAAGACTGAATACGATAGATAGCAAGTGGCTTATGTTTATGTTATTTGCTTTGTCCTATTAGTCGGGTTATGAGTAATACCACCGTGTTTTCTGTCTTAGGCTCTCAAAGGCACTGTGACTGACTTCCCTGGCTTTGATGAGCGGGCTGATGCAGAAACTCTTCGGAAGGCCATGAAAGGCCTGGGTAAGTTCAGCATCCTTTCTGTTATAAAAAAAAAAAAAAAAAATGATGTTTGTTTTTCCAAACAACAAGTCATTGATTACAGAAAGATTAATTTTAGAATACTTTGATCTGAAACTTACAGGAGAAAAGATACACTAAGACAACAAAGTAATACTAGGGGTCATCCCTGACGTTCAATCTTTGGAGCTGAACAGGCAGTTAAGTCCAGCCTCTGTGCCTTGGAGCTGGTCAGCTTGACCTGTGTGGTGGCTGACTGAGTTTGCCACCCTCCCTGAGAGTGGGCAGCTCTGTGTCCTCTGCCCAGTCAGACATGCAGTTCTCCATATGTGAGTCTCTTACACAGGACACTCTTCTCTTTCCACAAAACCTCTCATCTCAAGGATTTCCATGTGTACTGATCTGATCTCCCTGTGCTCAGGCCCCTTCTGCATTTGTGTCCCTGTATGTTCTGACCTGCTGAGGCCTTCTGTAGTACACCTGGCCCTCCTTTTCAGATGCCTCTTCCATTCCTGCTTGCTGTGTTTTCTGCTCAGCCAGGTTGGGTTATCTGTTATGCATATATTTTCCTCCTGCTAAGCTTTTCTCTTCATTCCAAAAGCCTGTCCTTTTTCCTTCCATCACTGCCTTTCACAGTCCTTCTGTCTTTGAAGACTGTTTTGGGTATCAGCTTCTCTATGATGCTTTCCCCCAAACTCCCTTCTGCCTCCTATCAGCTAGGAGACCCTCCTTTGAACCTCATTTGACACCTGGATCTCTCCTGTGGCACTTGCCATAATCTGCCTTAGCTCACATTTATTTGTGTGTTTTTATATTTTCCACTCTGCATTATTGGTAATTTGATGCCAGAGTCTATGTCTTTTTCTTCTTTCAATCCCTTAACATCCAGCACTTTGTGCCTTGTGAATAGCTGTTATTTGAGTAGATATTTGTTGTGTGAAAAACTAGGTGTACTCAGTTTTTAAAAATCAGGAGTATCTGTCTACCTGTTTCACAACACATCAGGAATGGGGGGTAGTATATATTAGAAATAAAGCATTATATATATTCTAAATTTTATAATTTTAATAAATCATGTACTAAAACACATAAAATATTTTTATATTCTCATAGATGTGAGGAAATAGTGACTGGGTGCTGGTTGGAAAGGTTATTGAGAGAGTGGGCAGTGGGGCCAAGTTGTAATTGTGAACCATAAATTGCAGGCACTGATGAGGAGAGCATCCTGACTCTGTTGACATCCCGAAGTAACACTCAGCGCCAGGAAATTGCTGCGGCTTTTAAAACTCTGTTTGGCAGGGTAAGACCATACTTCATCCCAGGTAGAATGTGAGAGCAGCTATGAGTTTAAGACTAGTTTGAAATATACTAATATTCTTTTGTAAACATCATTTATTTTGTGATTCTGACTTCTCCACATTTTTCTTTTCCACCTTCCTGTAAATTATCAGCTGTTCGTAGACAAAGCTTCCCGACTTACCCTCACATAATTGTTTTTCTTGGCTTAATGCTGTAGAGGTGCCAAAAAGTACCATGGTGATAACTGCCCCTCTTCTTCTATGCTTCCCACTCAGGATTGTTTCATTATTCATTTTCTAGGTGTAAGCCTATATTACGGTATGTTTTCTTTCTTTTTTCTTTTTTTTTTTTGGTGACTGGCTAGTATGGGGAACTGAACCCTGGACCTGGTTGTTACAAGGCTGTGCCCTAACCAAGTGAGCTAATTGGCCAGCCCTGTGATATGTTTTCTTATGACATGGTTACAGTCTTGGCTTCTTTTGTAGTGATCTTAAGAAATGAATTTTTAATTAATTGATTTAAATGCTGTTATTTGATTAAAAATTTAAGTTTGTAGGGGTGGCCCATGGCTCCCTTGGGAGAGTGTGGTGCTGATAACACCAAGGCCACGGGTTCGGATCCCTATATAGGGATGGCCAGTTAGCTCACTTGGGAAAGCGTGGTGCTGACAACACCAAGTCAAGGGTTAAGATCCCCTTACCAGTCATCTTTAAAAAAAAAAAAAGAAAAAAAAATCAAGTTTGTTACTAAATGAATTAGTGCATACATGAAAAACTTAAGTATGGTGTTGTTATTCTGAAAATTTTTCATTTCATTGAGAAACAAACGTAAAGCCAAAAAAAAGTATTCTAAATGCCATTTCTAGTTGCCAGATGTGATAAAACTGAGATAGGTAGGAAATACTGTTTTTATTTTCATAATTATATACACAGTTTCCCCATAGTAATTTCCCCATGTCTCTCAGTAGTCAAGAGCATAATAATGACTGACTATAATCTATTTTGTATTAGAATGTAATTAGATATTGAGAGAAAAGAAAAAAATGTTTAGGTATGATAGGCTAAATTTTGACCTTTGTAAAAATGCACTTACGATTATATTGGGAATTTTTTGAAGATACATATGTTTCTCAGAACAGTACTTTTAACATAAAATATTTTTACCCACTTTTAAAGGTATTCTTTTTTTTTTTTCTCAATTCTCGAAGTGAAGAAAAACATCTTTTAAAAACAGGTACCTTGATGCATAAGTGGCTTTGCTTCAGCTTAAGCTTTAGGTCAGATGTCAGAAGTACATTATTCAGGGCTACAGGGTTTTATGCAGCGCATGTGCCTTCTACTTAGAGACAGCAACATAAGGAATTCACTAGAGCAAAGAGCTATCATTCATATTTAAGAATCTCCTTAAAATTTCTATCTACTTAACAAATTGTATTTTGTGTGAGTTAGGATCTTCTGGATGACCTGAAATCAGAACTGACTGGAAAGTTTGAGAAATTAATTGTGGCTCTGATGAAACCCTCTCGGCTGTATGACGCCTATGAACTGAAGCATGCTCTTAAGGTAAAAGTTGTGACAAGTGAAACGAACATTTCTCTCCTTAATAATATTATTTTGTTTTGATAATTACTTCATCTTGTTTGTTATATGTAAAAAGAATTTCTTTGACTTATTTCAGTGAGGATTGGTTGGAAGACAAAACAGAGACAATAAGAAGTAAAGGAGGGAGAAAATTACAAGTGTGTCATTTAATCTTTTTGTACACTAAACTCAATAATACAGGCTATTTAAAATTTTAATATTTTTGTAGTGTTTTATACTTTATTTTCATGCCTGTCTTCTAATTTTGAGAAGTATTTAAAAAATGTTGCAGATAAGGTAATTTATTTTTTTTAAATAGAAAGTTGCTTGATCAGGGAACAATAATATTGTCTATGAATTTGGGCTAAAAAGTAAAGCTTCAGAGAGAATTTTCAAGATAAAGATTGTTTAGTATGCTTTCCTTCTTTCCTGTACTTCCAAACACTAAAATGAAGTAGCTGGTAAACTTGTTTTAATTTCAGTTGTAGCAAAAACTAAATGTGTATTCCTGGACTGGTGTTTGGAATACTGTATAAATATGACTGCATTGAAACATTTATTTAGATTTATGAGACAGTTACATTTTGAATGGGCAAACTGACATTTAACAACAAAGAGATAATGTAGCTCAGGGATTTTTTTCTTATGGAGTGGAGACAGGAGGTTTATCTAGTTAGGAACCTGTTTATGCTTACTTTCTTCATTTTCCTGCAGTAATTCTTTTGGAATAAACAAAATCTTAACGTTATTAAGAAAAGGGCTTTTTTTTCAGAATGCTACTGAAATGACAGCAATAGCTGAAATTCTGCCAGAGGATGAACCTAGGTTTTTCAGTGCTTGTTTTTTGATAAAGAAACAGAAATATAAAGAAAATAAGCCTTCGATATGCTTTTAAAAAAATTTTTTTTTAAGCTATATTGTTGCTTGCATCTTCTAATTTATTGGTGTAGATATGACTTTTGTATGCAGAAAAAGCAAAACCAACTAAAATTTTTCAAAAATCCAGAAAACAGGGCCGGCCCGGTGGCGCACTGGATAAGTGCGCCGCTTGGGAAGCGCGGCGGTGCTCCCGCCCGAGGGTTCGGATCCCACATACAGACCGGTTCCCGCTCACTGGCTGAGCGAGGCGCGGGGGCAGCACCGAGGGTTGCGATCCCGTTGCCGGTCCCCGGTCCGGTGCGGGGGCAACACTGAGGGTTGCGATCCGTTGCCGGACACGGAAAAAGACAAAAGACAAAGAAAAAAAAAAAAAAAATCCAGAAAACAAGTCCCAGTTCTTTTATATTGACCCAATTCCTAATAATTAAGGCATGGTAGATTTATTGCCTTTGATGCAGAATTTCCCTGTGGCTTCATAGAGAACTTAACTTGGGAACAGGGGTTTATTTTTTGAAATACAGGTTGTTTAAGTATTAGTGTTCCTCCAAGTAAATTTGTGTAAAGTTTTCATTTTTACTATTTGAGCTTTTTAGAAAAATTATTTCATGTTTCATTAGAATGTTTTACTTTTAACTAGAAGTGACTGATCAAATTACAAGTTACAAATTTATATAACCTGTTATATATATATATCTATACCTATATACACACATACATATGATAAATGTTTTTCATTAGACAAAAAAAAGAAAATCTTCTTTGGACAGAAAATTAATTTGAAATTTCTTATTTCTATACCTAATAGAACTTGTATACAAAGATGTCCATTTTATGTTGGATAATATTTATGTAATTATGCAATTTGGGTAACATCTATTCTGGGAAAATAACCTTAGTTTTAATCTTACTGACCTGTTTTCTCTATTAAAAATAAATCTTCAAACAGGGAGCTGGGACAAATGAAAAAGTACTTACAGAAATTATTGCTTCAAGGACACCTGAAGAACTAAGAGCCATAAAACAAGTTTATGAAGAAGGTAAATGTCCCAAACTACATTTTGCCTTCATCTTCACTGTTACTTCTTTCATTTTTCTGACATGAATGGAGTCTTTCATAGATATAGGAGGCAGATAATACATGATTGTTGAGTCAATGAGTGAATAAGCTATAATTCAAGCTATTTTCCTCTTTCAGTAAGGAAAAAACTGCCTTTTTACACACAACTGTTTTAGTGGTTTATAAGAAGCTACTGAGTGATGATGGAATTTACTTTTGCATAGGATTTGCAACTACTGTAGGGATATACAGGTTGTCTTTCTTTCTTTTTCTTTTTTTTTTTTTTAAAAGATGACCGGTAAGGGGATCTTAACCCTTGACTTGGTGTTGTCAGCAACACGCTCACCCAGTGAGCAAACCGGCCATCCCTATATGGGATCCGAACCCGTGGCCTTGGTGTTATCAGCACCTCACTCTCCCGAGTGAGCCACAGGCCGGCCCCAGGTTGTCTTTCTTTTATGTTAACTTTAAGTTATGTTTTCTTTTCTTTTTTCCTTTAAGTGAATTCAGTTTTATGTTAGTAGAAGTTAAGATTATGTAAAAGCCACTTTTGGAATCTGGGAAAAGAAACCTAAACCCTTTTACAAAACGCAATTGGTAAAACATTTGAGTAAATGTCTGTTGTTTAAGCTATGATGCCTTTTTTGTGTGCCTTAATGTTTTGTGGAAAAAAAAATCTGTATTCCAATATGAATTATATCCTGTGAGTGGAATTAAGAAAATGAAATTAAAAAGTAATAAAAAAAAAATAGAGTTCTTCTTTCCTGGTCATATCTCTTGTAGCAGACTCTTTTTCCTGCCTGACTGAGGAGGTCCAGATTATGCAGGTTGTCAGCTCAATCAAGAGCCTAGTGCCTTTAGCTAGGAAAATGGGTCTCTATTTTGGCATTAACTTGTTAGTTGTAGAAGTGACTTTGCTAACCCAACAACTCAGAATAGTGTGAAATTTAGAGAAAGTGAGTAATTACCTTTCCGATGTGCTGGATCTCTCTTTCCTGCTCCTTTTTCAGTAGTTGGGTAGGTCCTGACCACTAACGCAGAAGTGCTTAAATGTCTTACCTTGGAGCTTTATTTGATGTTATATTCAAAGATCTCTTCCTGGGTATGTTGACATCAATGAGTGAACCTTTGTGCCACTGGATGACAAATGGAGTACCTCGGGACAATAACCATGTATGGTCCATCCTTCTCAGCCATGTCATTGAACACTGGCCATGTGTCTGGCAGTATACTGGCTGTCATGAATGACACAAAATATGTGCACAACAAAGTTCCTGTCCTCAAGGAATTTGCAGGCAGTTTATTTAGGAGTGACATGATTTAGAACCACTGCTATAGTTAAAGGATAGTAAACTTCAAACTAAAGTCAAATATCAAAAATGTTTAATGCAAGAATGCATTCAGAGGGGAGAGGTCATCATAGCTGTAGATATTAGGGGAGGCTTCATGGTACAAATCAGACACTCAGCAGAGTTTCAAGGCTGGGTAGGTGCATTCAGGCTCTATTGATGAGATGAATGGGTAAAGAAAATAGGGTACACACACACACAAAATTCATCCTTAAAGAAGAAAATCCTATCATTTGCAACAACATGGATGAATCTGAAGGATATTAAGTAAAATAAGCCAGGCACAGAAAGGCAAATACTGCCTGAAATCACTCTTATGTGAAATCTAAGAGTTGAATTCATAGAACCAGAGAGTAGAATGGTGGTTGCTGGGGGCTGTGGAGGAAGGAGTTAGGGGGAAAGTGGGTGAAAGGGAGAAAGAGATGGGGAGATATTGGTCAAAGGGTACAAAGTTTCAGTCAGGCAGGATGAATAAGTTCTGAAGATCTAATGTATAGCTTGGTGACTATATGAAAAGTACTGTATTGTATACCTGAAATTTGCTAAGAGAGTAGATCTCAAATGTTCTTATCACCACAGCAACAAAAACTGTGTGAGGTGATGGATATGCTAATTAGGTTTTGTGGTAATCATTTCACAATGTATATGTATATCAAAACATCATGTTGTAAATATATACAACTTTACACCTTAAATATATGCAATTTTTATTTGTCCCTTATAGCTCAATAAGTCTGGGAAACAAAAAGACTAGGTGGGTAGTGGAGAAAGCATTTCTGGTCAGGGTACCCACTGTCTTCGACGGCATGGCAACTGGACTGAGGAGACTATATTGAATGAACAAAGAGAGCCTGACTATCATAGAGGATGTGGGCATGTCCATTATGAGAGAGAAATTGAACAAGGCTAGGTTATGGATGTTTTTGCATGACTGGATTGGGAATTTGGACTTGAGTCAAAAGCATTGTAAGTTTTTGAATGAGTAATGAAATGTTGAAGGAACAATTGTAGGAGGAAGGAGATTTGAATCAACAGCTGATTAGGTAGCTATATATGTGGGCAGATAAGCTAGGTATTTAGTAATTATGGCCCAACCTAGGTTGATCAGAGGTGTGAGGAGGATAAATCAGAGAAAGGAGGAACATTAAGGAATCAAAGATTCCTACAGTGTTTTGTAGTTGGGTAACTGGTTGAAATAAACTTATAACTCTTTGGAATCTTCTAAAATAGAAGTTTCAGGCTTTTAAAGTTTGCCTGCTTTAAATAATGATTAAATATTTAAATACTTTAGAGGAATACCTCCATTCATTCATTCATTTATTTTTGGCAGCTGGACGGTACAGTGATCAAACCCTGGACCCTGGTGTTGTCAGCACCACGCCCTAACCAACTGAGCTAACCGGCCAGCCCCCCTCCTTTCTTTTAATAGCAGCTGTTTGAGGGTTAGTGAAAAGGGCTCATAGACTCCTGAAGATCCTAGTTGTTTTCTTTCCCGTGACCTTATGTTGAACAGCTGGAAATAGAGGTAGGAGGGGGCATATTTCAAGATATTGTTGTCTCTCAGAGTTAACTTTACTTGCTACAGAGGAACAACATCTTATTAGGGGAAGGAATGGCCTTGCCCAAAGAAAGAAAACTCAATATTCAAGGATGGAAGATGTTTGGGAACTAGTCATGTAAAAAATTTGAAAGAAAGCAAAACAAAGTTTAAATTTATTATGATATTATTTAGGAGGCTTTCCAGAACCTTATGTGTCTACGGATTAATAAATACATTGGTTGAGAACATTGCCAAATGGTTGAGTCAGTTTTTAGGTTTGAATCCAGTACTTTTGGATGGCTTTAATTTAATTTATTTTTGTCCCATCAGTATCTTAAAGCACTTAACTTTAGTCTTCAGAAATGGAATAGAGAGAATTTATGTTAATCAAATATACTGTTTCTTCCTTTATGTCTCTTTCATTTGATTAATGGGGTAGGATATCTTTTCCTAGTTCAAAGAAGCTGTAAATAAGTATGAAATTATTCTGTTGCAGAATATGGCTCAATCCTGGAAGATGATGTGGTGGGGGATACTTCAGGGTACTACCAGAGGATGTTGGTGGTTCTCCTTCAGGTATTGGGTGGAGACTAATTATAGTTTGATTAAAAAGTCTGCAGTCAGACTGGCCTGAGTCTAGTTACGTAAGAACACTTAAAATTCTTTTAATAGTTTCTGGTGCTTGTTGATTTTATTGCGATGTTTCTCATTGTATGTTGCCTGTGCTTATTTGTGTTTTAGGATATCTAACCTAACTCTTAATAGCTAACTCATAGATTTGTTTTAGGTAGCAGTATATGCTTTCTTTCATAGAATTAGAAATCAGGAAGATCAGATTGATTGTGGACAGTGATGTGTGATAGTGTGGAATGTGATGGTACTTCAAAGAGTTTGTGGAAAAAATATAATTAAAAAATGATACAAATCTTTCCATGAACTTTTTGAAGACCCTTCATATTGTAGGCTTGATATGATCTTAATGGTATATTATTCACAGAGAAAAAGCTTTATGTGCATAACCATCAGGTAGATCCATTTTTCCTTTTGAATGAAAATGTTCTATCATTCAATAATGTGACATCTTATCTCTTACAGGCTAATAGAGACCCTGATGCTAGAATTGATGAAGCTCAAGTTGAACAAGATGCTCAGGTGAGTGAGGCCTACCTAGTATGTGATGACTTTCGTATGATATAGAAATGAAAAGAGTTTATGGTAATGAAAAATCACAATGTATGTCATAATAGCCTCTAGAAATAATCTTGTTTATGGGTCCTTTACAAATCATTAGACTCACAAAAGTACAGCAAAAATATTTATTTTATCCTAAAGCTGAAATGAAATGAAATAAATTATATGGTGGGTTCCACATAGACATTTTTTTCCCTGTGATTATAGAATGTTCATAAAATAGAGAATTTTACAAAAAAAACAGGCTTTGCAGGTTCCACTGCCAGGGATGCGGTGGGTCTCTTAGCAGCAGAGGGTGCGGTGGTAAGTGGTGATTATCACGTAAGAGATCGTGAGTTGTTTTAGTATTAGGAAATTTCTCTGCATTTCCTTTGACAGAATTCTAGATAGGATTGTTCTTTTGTCAGCTGCTTTTTAGTGACTCCCAAATGAAAATTTGCAGTTAAATGACTTTTAAATCCCAGTATAGTCTCAGTATGGTTTATAAAGCAAGCAAATGTAGGAAATAAGTGTTAGGAAGTTTGAAACATGAAAGCTGAGAAGTGGAAATTGGTAATAAAGAAATTACTTGTGTTGCTGGAATCACCTATCTTCGCTCTGTCTTCCTGGTCACCTGCTTCAGTTAAGAGAATATACACTTCTTGGTTGTTAGTCATACACCACTGGAAAAGCAAGATCCATATCCACTCTTCCAATGTTCGATTCTCCATGAAACAGCCAGTGGATGTGTGATCTGTCTTTGCCAGTAGGAAAGAGGAGAGCATCTTACTCTTTTGGGTGGTTTGATTTTGTAAAGGCTTCAGAATGCTGTCATGTCTGCCTAGCTGGAGAGAGAAAAGCAAAGGAAAGGAATGCTTACTGAGGGCTGTCTGTGAAGTATTTGACTCTTGCCTCATTGTCTCTTATAAAATGCAAGCCTGTTGTGTCATGCCCCTGTTTAAAACCTTAAAACCCTCCGATGGTTCTTCTGCTGTCCTCAGGTTTAAGTCTGGTCCCCTGCTTGTGGTTTCTAAGCCCCTGTTTTCTGGGTCTTGCTTACTTATGCCTCCAGCCTCTCTCTTCTGGGCCTTTTTGTTTCTCCTCTTGCACCTTACTCCCCCCATTCACCTATATCCTCCTCAAGGGTCAGTTCCCAGCTTAGGTATTTTTTTTGCATGGCCCTGTCTGACCCCCCAAGTGTGTGTCAGGTGCCCCTTACAGGGAAAACTATAGCACACCAAGCTTCCTGGCACTGTCCCTGCCTCTCATGTTGAAGCTGTCTGTTTATTTGACTGTCTTCTCAGGGGGGTTGTCAGTTCAATTGTATCCTCAGCTCCGAGAATATAGTAGGCACTCAGTAAATAACTGATAAATGAATGAGTGGCCAACTCTAAGGTAGAAGGGGAAATTTCCATTTTATAGATAAGGAAACAAGCTCATGCTCCCACTGAATAGTAGTGGAGCTGGGATTCCCAACCACGCATGTCTGACTCTAAAGCCCCTTCTCTTTCCTTAAACAACAGTTTCAGTGCTCCTCCCTCTCATTTCTTCTGTCATATAAAAGGTTTATTAAGTATAGATCGGAACACTGATCTAGCTTAACTCCGCCTTCTAAGGAGAAAGGGCCTACAAAGTTGTACTCCAAACTGTGAGGGGCTTTGTTCAGTAGTGAGATGACCTTATTGCTTTCTCAGCATTAATAGTTGACTTTGGTAGGAGACAGTGCTGATTCTCAACATTCCTTCTCTCAAGAGTAGGAGTTCTGGAGGTTTTTCAACAGTCATGGTGTAGGAAGCCAACTCTGGTAGTCTCAGATGACTGCAGTGAGGCTACATTAGCAATCAGTGGGCAGATTTCCTAGCACAGCTGGTGATGTAATGAGAGCATTGCTGCAGTGTGAGGCTCTGGAGGGGAAGATAGCACATTTTAACCTCGTTTTCATTGATTTCTGTCCTCAGGACAATCACTGGTTAGTGCTGCTTCTCAGACTTTCATGGGCATGTGAATCTTGTCCATGAATCTATCTCAGGGATCTTGTTAAATCGCAGATTCTGATCGCAGGTCTGGGTGGGTTCTGGGATTCTGCTTTTCTGACATGCTCTCAGGTGATGCCTGTGCTGTGTCCTGGGACCGCACCTTGAGTACCAAGGCTGTGTAGATGTTGCTTACCTGCCATGCAGTGGATATGACCATTTAGAACACTGAAAGCAAAACTTTGTATGTGTGAAAATTGCCCTATGGTGTTACTTTAAAATATTCCTTGAATGGAATCCAGGCCTTCCTTACCCTTCCAGTGACCACGGGCAACACAGAACATGTTACACTGGCCATTTGTTTTTGATTCTTTAAAATGTATTATTATTAATTAATTCAACCTATTGAAAGCAATTACTCTTTCAGCATTATCAAAAGAAATAGATCCATTTATACCTTGTAGCAAGGTCAGCCGGGCAGTTATCAGTAATGAGAATTTAAGATTTCTTAATTGAGATGAAGCTGAGACAACTAAAGGGCCCTTTCATAAGCTTTGGAATTTTTTTCTCTACTGATACCTGGAACTAAGAGGATTCCTATTATTTCAGGGGTTTGATAAGCCACAGTGAGTCATTCACTTGGGAATTCAACATTTTGTAGATAATCCACTTTATGTTTCAACATTTCTAATGTGTTAAACTGATTTTACCTTTTTAAATGTATTAAACTGATTTAATGTTTTTTAATATGTTAGAACTGATTTTACCTCCTTTCCTGCCAAATCCTTGTTTTATACTTTCTCTGGAGGGAGAGTTGAACTCTTAGGGGAAGGAGAGATGAATCAATGTTTGTTGAGCGCCTGCTACTGATAACCTGACACTGATCAATGCACTGTGTAAGTTATATAATCTCCATTAATGACTCTATAGAAATAGTATTCCTACTCTTCAGGTGAGGATACTGAAGTTCAAAAAGAGATTAAGTAGCTTATCTGAGATCTCACAAATAAGGACAAGGGCCAAATCTTTTTTCTTTCTTTCTTTCTTTCTTTTTTTTTTTTTAAACTTCAAAGCCTCTGTCCTTTGCACTGAACCAGGCGTTATCAAGTGTGCTCAGGTTGAACTGTAAAGCTGAAGGGGGGGGCAGCATGAGGAGGTGTGAGGGTCCCTCAGCCAGAACAGCTGTATGGATCTTGGGCATCCTCATTGAGAAGAAAGATTACTTAGATTGAAACAAAACAAAACCTTTAAATATCATTGTTCTATATGAAAATGTCATCATTATTTTTACGTATGATTTACTTAATAAAAGTTTTAGAATAGATATTGATCCCAAACATAATTCTTCTAAGAAAATTAGGAGATTATAGTAAAAAGTAGCTGACATTTCACGTATAACAGGCTTAACTGCTGTCCCTACTAGAGAAAATTCCTAGAAATGTAGAACAGTTGATGAGAGTTGTGTGCGTTGGCAGTGTCTGTAATGTTTTACAGGATGAGCCCTCTCCCTCTTTAGGGGTTAATACATATGCATATCTTATATACATGTAGAATACATACCAGCAGTAGTAGCCAGCATCCTCAGGGTTTTGGTATTAGAGGTAATTTAAATTTTCTTATTTGTGTTTTTTCTCTGTTTTACAGAATTTCTCAATGAACATGTTGTTTTGTAATTAGATTAAAAAGTTATTTTAAGAAAGGTCTATATCACCATCATATAGTTCTAAATTTTAGATACATGGATGACTTTTATAGGATCTGTCTTTTCAGTTTTTTTTTTTTTTTTTTTGTCTTTTTCCCTGTCCGGCAACGGATCACAACCCTCAGTGTTGCCCCTGTACCGGACCGGGGACCGGCAACGGGATCGCAACCCTCGGTGTTGTCCCCGCGCCTCGCTCAGCCAGTGAGCGGGAACCGGTCTGTATGTGGGATCCGAACCCTCGGGCGGGAGCGCCGCCGCGCTTCCCAAGCGGCGCACTATCCAGTGCGCCACCGGGCCGGCCCATGTCTTTTCAGTTTTAAAGAGCATGCACATATGACCAGAATTAAAATTATTTGTATAATTAAAATAAATTAATTTCAAAATCGAGTGTGCAAAGTCTCATCTTTTTTTTATTCTCTGGAAATATAATAAAAAATAGATCTATACCACCATAATGTACATTCTTAAACATACTGTGGTCAAAACTTTCCGAACACTTTATTATCACTTCCTATCTTTATTTGATTTCCATTTGTGGGCAGAAGGCCAACTTCAAGTAGCAGCTTCAGCAAATTACATTCATCTTGGCTTAATAGGTATACTTAACTTGAAATGAATAACTAAAAGGGTAGTATAGATATTGTAAAGATTGATTCTTTTGGTTTTAATAAATTATCCAAATCATAATAAGTAGACTCAGATTTAATGATGATGTTTGTAAGTAAGTTTATTTTTTAAAGCAGTTATACAAACACTAATAAGCATGTATTCTTTTCCATTTCAGAAAGTATATGAGCACTCAGACTATTCAACAAGTGTTTATTAAGTGCCTGATACACACCAGGCTCTGTGCTATGCCCACAGTTTTTTTCTTTTTCTTTTCTTTTGACAGCTGGCTGGTACAGGGATTGAAACCTGGATCTTGATGTTATCCAGGTTATACCAGGCTCTAACCAACTGAGCTAACCAGCCAGCCCTTCCCACAATCTTTTTTTTTTTTTTTTTTTTTTTTTTTTTTTTTTTT